AATTTTAATAACTTAGGCTTAAAATACTGATTTGTACTTTTAATTAATATGTATGACTGTACATTTCTAAACATAAGAAAAAGGTAAACTCATTAATCACCATGACCTACTGCAATCAATTGGAATGCCCATCATTCCACACTTGTTGCAGATGACCGATTTTAAACCAACTCTTTATTCTGTGGCCTGGGTGAGAAGAACACAGGAGCTGTTTGCTGTAATGCATCAGCCCTTCTGTTGTGAAGCTAGAAAAATGCATTTCAGGGCATTCTACTCTGATGTTCCCTGACTCAACCAATGCTTTGGGAACTTTTCATGCATTTTATTATGTATCAAAAAAATTTTTTTAACTTTGAAAAATTTAAACTGCATGTATTTGAAAGGTAGAAGTGAATGAAGACTTAAGAAAATACTTCTTTTCCATTTTGTATTGACAGACCCCTCTAAATACGATTCTGGCTGGAATGAGCTGCTTTGTTAATGTCTTGTCATGCTTCCTTTTTGTTATACTTGGGGTACATATATTTTATATTCTCTGTTTTATTCATTTGCTAGGGCTGCCATAATAGAATTCCCCAACCTAGATGGCTTAAAACAACAGAAATTTATTGTCTTGGTTCTGGAGGCCAGAAGTCCAAAGTCAAGGACTCGGAGGGTTGGCTCCATCTAAGTGCTGGTGGGAGAATCTGTGCCACGCCTCTCCTGGCTTCTGGAGGCTGCTGGCAATCCTTGGCTCATATGTGGTCATCTTCTACCTGCATCTCTTCATGTGGCATTTTCCCTCTGTACGTGTATCTGTCTCCAAATTTCCCTTTTACAAGGACTCCAGTCATATGGGATTAGGGGTCCACCCTACTCCAGTATGAACTCATCTTAGCCTGTTATACCTGCAACAGCCCTATTTCCAAGTGAAATCACATTCTGAGGCACCTGTGGTTAGGACTTCAAGCCATGAATTTTGGGGGACACAATTCAGCCCATAACATCTGCCCAGAAGGTGAAGAGTCTCCGCCCATACTCTGTTTGCCACACAGAATGAGCCGATCACTTTTGTAACTGTATCCTGTAGTTTCCGGAGCTCTTGGGTTTCCTATAATAATGGGGTTTAGCTTTCACAGTAGGGGAGCAGGAGAGTGGGGGGAACTTTGAAGGCTGGTCTTTGAAGCACTTTGACAAGTGAAGGTTAACACCGGAGAGAAAACATATAACTCCTGTTTTGGACTCAGAAGCGTTTGCTGCAAATTTCTGTTTCTCTTTCATAATGAATTCTGTCTTTAAAATGGCCTCCTGTCTAACGCCTTTGTTTGGAATTTCAGTTTGGGTTTTATTTCCCTATTATAGAGCCTCAGCTGGGGAGGGGCCTTGAATGTTTATTGATGATCATGGTGCTGACAGATAATAATAAGGGTAGCCAGCATTTAATATTTTCAAAACATCTTCTAATTTTTACTTAGACATTTTTGGTTTATCAGAACAGAAGTCATTTTTCACCTTTCCAGCCTTTCCCCCCATCCCTTTTAGGGCCAAATGCACAGAAAATGTTCTCATTAATGTTCTCATTAACGTTGCATGTGCTCTGCTTTTAGGCTTTTTTTACAGAGAAGTACTTGCAGGAGCACCCTGAAGACCAGGAGAAGGTTGAGCTGCTGAAGCGACTGATAGCATTGCAGGTATGTGGCACTGGAGGTGGGCACCTGGGCAGCTGTCCTCTATGCTCCATGGGCAGCCGCAGCGCAGGGCTCCAAGATGTTCTCTGGGGCTTATGTCTACAGGCCCACTTTCAGGGTTACTTTTTCTTTTTTTAACACTTATGGAACCATAGCCTGTCAATGTATTTCTTTGTTTGGCAGAGCCACTTAGGAATGGCATTCAATTAAACTGCCCAGTGTTGACAGGGCCCTCTTAGATACAAGATTACAGTCCAGAAATTTGTTTCATGGCCTGTGTTTCCAGCTAAGAGATGTTGGCCTCATTTTTTTTTCCCTTTGGGCAATGGTAGCAAATGCAATCACCAAATTCGGTCTGAGGCTTAACACTGTCAGTTGCTCGCCCACAGAAATGCCCGAGCTCAGGAGATCTGCCTTGTCCGTCTGCCATTCCCCAGTTCAGGTCCTCCTTGGGTCCTTGCCGTGGGTGTTTCTCCACATCACTGACCAAAGCACATCCAGTCCCAAGCCCTAAACTGAGAAGTGGCATCCTCACGGCATAGTGCTGCGTCTACCTGCTTACCTGTGCACCCCACACCCACCCTTCCCCACCCTCCAAATCTGAATGATCCCACTCGCTGAGCCACATCTCATTCCTTTTACGCCCTCTTTCCAGATGCCTCTGCTGACGGAGGGGATCCGCATCCACGGGGAGAAGCTGACGGAACAGCTCAAGCCGCTGCATGCCCGCTTGTCCACTTGCTTCCGGGAACTCAAGGAGAAAGTGGAAAAGCTCTATGGGGTCATAACACTGGTGAGCCTTGTCCAAACTGCCTCCGTGCTGTTTCTAGTCTCTTTTACCTTCTATGACATTGGTCAGTTTTCCAGATGCCAGTGAATCGTAATAGCTTAGGGGTGGCATGAAAATACTGGGGACAAGTGGGAAAGAGCATGTTCTGACCCCGATGACCTTGAGCCATCGTTGTGCTAGACAGAGGTTCTCAAACTTAAACGACGATCAGAATCACCCAGGGGGCTTGTGAAAATCCAGGTGGCTGGGCCATATACCCAGAGTTTCTGATTCCATAACTCTGGGGTAGGGCCCAGGTATTTACATTGCTGACAGGTTCCCAGGTGGTCCTGATGTTGCTCGTCTGAGGACACTTTGAGAACCACTGTACTGGAAGTTGAAGTTTCCCTAATCCCAGACCCTGGCTATTCCTGTCCTATCTAGCCTGATGCATTTAATTTTTTAAAATTGTTATTATCCATTTTGATGAAAAGTTTAGTCTTCACACCTTTGAAGGGGAGAAAGAATTATGAATTACATTTTTCAGTGCACGTAGCTGATCTCATAAATTTTTTTTGACAGTTCTAACTCATTCCTCACAGCTACAATTTTCTTTCGTGCTCCTGAGAAGCGGGGTGGAAGGGTACATGTGCTAACCTTCTCTCTCCAATCACAGCTGATTCTGCAGTTGGTTCTCGCTTCATTTATCTGCTCTGTTTTCCTTGAGTTCACCCTATAATTTTTAGTGGTCTTTTTCTTGAACCCCTGATTTTCAAATTCTTTCCTCAAATCAGAGCTTTGGATTTCTTTTCGTGTTCTCTTCTCCCCTAATCCCGTTTGTCCATCTCCACTAGAATTTCCTTGAGAGTATCTTATTTACCCTCCCCTTTAGTCATCAGAGCCCTGCCTTCCTAAGAATTTGCCTCCTTCTACTAGTTAAGAGTTTTCTTCTAGGACCATTGGATCATTTGCCTTTTGTACACAATTTCCTAGACAGCAAGGACTGTGTCTTTGACTTAACAAGCTTAGTCATTATTAGAACCAGGCCAATACTGATAAGGATTTCTTTTCGTGTTCTCTTCTCCCCTAATCCCGTTTGTCCATCTCCACTAGAATTTCCTCAAGAGTATCTTATTTACCCTCCCCTTTAGTCATCAGAGCCCTGCCTTCCTAAGAATTTGCCTCCTGCTACTAGTTAAGAGTTTTCTTCTAGGACCATTGGATCATTTGCCTTTTGCACACAATTTCCTAGACAGCAAGGACTGTGTCTTTGACTTAACAAGCTTAGTCATTATTAGAACCAGGCCAATACTGATAAGTAAGTTTACGATGGCAGCATTTGGGGATAATCTTACTGGTGACATTTCTTGTGGAAGTAGATCAGTATTCCTAAACTTCCTAACATTCACCAGGTTAAGCTTCAGGTCTACAGATTCAATCTAAAAATGTTCTCTTGGGCCAATATTCCATTTTTTTCAAAAGCTAGAAGCAGCTAAGAAAAACAGATAGATGGTTTTGCTATTTTGTTGGTAGGTAAGGCACATCGTAGTTTTTCCTCTCTCATATATCATATATCTGATGATAACTTTTTGTTTAGTCTTAGTTGTGTCTATAACTAAGAATGTAGGTATTCTAAATATTTAACAATGGACAGAGCGCTGGGATCAGCCAACTAGAATGGGGTTCCAGCCAGTAGACACTGGCTGGCCACAAACATGGTGGTGGCGTCAGATCACGTGGTCTGAGCCCCAGGCCTGCTAACCCTAAGGGATCTCGTGTTTTTCAGCCACCCACCTTGACTGAGAGGAAGCAAAGCCGTACGGGGTCTATCATGCTACCCTACATCATGTCTTCCACGCTGCGGAGGCTGTCTGTCACCTCGGTCACTTCGTCTGTGGCTTCCACCTCTTCCAACTCATCCGATAATGCTCCCTCCAGACCAGGATCAGATGGGTAAGGTTTGACCTTGAATCTCCAGGAGGGGCAGGGTAATGCCTGACTAATGTTTGCCTATGGTCACCAAAAACGAGACCTGGTCAGTGTAGGCACATCATCATTTCTGTGAGCAAAATAATTTAGAGTGCATGGGTTATCAGCCTTTGGGTCATTCTCATTGTCTTCCTCATGAGGAATATCATTAGTCACATTATGATGTCAACAGTGACTAAAGATGAAAAAGGAAAAAAAAATCACCCGTAATCCTAGCACCCCATTGCCTCATTTTTTTATTGTTTCAATTTTTTAAAATAATTTTAAAACTTATATTTATTTTGAGAATAGGTAATATAATCCCCTGAAATGACATTGCAAAACTACAAAAGGGGATATATCATGAAAAATCTCCCTTCAATCCCTGACTCCTACCTACCAGTACCACTCCCCAAAGGCAGCTGATGTCAACATTCAGGGTCTCAGGATCCCTCCGCAGCTCTTTATGGGTACATAAGCAATGCCTGAATGTATATGTTCTTCTCCACCCTTTTTTATGAGTGGTGGCATTCTCTTTACCCTTCTTTTTTTCCATTTAAAATATCTTGAAAATCATTCCATTTCAGAACATAAAGAGCCTCCTCTTTTCTTTTAGCGGCAGGCATCTCATTGTATGCCTATGTCATGATTTATTTCACCATGGCCTGCTGATAGAGGTTTAGTTGGTTTCACTCTTTCACAATCACAGCAGTATGGCAAGGAGTAACCTTAAGCCTAAGTTATTTTGCCACGTGTGCAAGTGTATCAATATGAGAAAAATCCCATCAGTAAAATTGCTCTGCTCAGAGATATGTATTTGCAACTTTGAAAGTTATTCCTAAACCAACTTCCATAGAGATTATACCAACTAACACTCTCACCAGCAACATAACATGAGGGCCCGGTTACCCAAATCTTGCCACCAAACTGTATTATCACATAGAAAATGTTTTCTTGTATAGGCTTTTTTTTTTCCCTCCTCTTGTTTTGTATGAAATTGGTCATCTTTTCATTTGTTTAGTAGCTGTTTGTGTTTTACTTTCCGTGAACTGTGGTCAAATACTTTGTGTCCATTTTTCTGTTGGATTATTGGCCCTTTGTCTGTGGTATGAGTTGAAATATTTTCCCCCAGTTTCTCATTTTTTGACCTCTAACTTTTTGCTTCTAATTTTTTGTTATGCTGTTTTTTTTATGTAGTCAAATAAACCAATATTTTATTTTATGTCACAATTAAAGGTTTTCTGCACTCTAAGATTACAAAAAAAGGTTCTAGGTTTTTTTTTCCTTGACTTTTAGGTTTTTACTATTCACAGTTAAATCTGCTTATTCTTTGGAATTTATTCTAATATAAGGTGTGAGTTATGGAGCCAACTTTTTTTTTTCTAAACACCTACCCAGTTCTTCCTATTAACATTTGGTGAGCAAATCATCTTTTCTCTACTAATTTGAAATGCCAGTCTTATCAAAAATCAAATTTCTGTATGTTCTTTAGTTTGTGGACTTTTTTTTCCCTATTTCCTAGAACTATTTGTCTATTCATGCATCAGTACTATGCAGTTTTAATTACTGTAGATTTTAAATGTTTTTAATTTCTAGTATTCCTTTTCAGAATTTCTTTGGCTGGTTTTGCTCATTGCTCACTTTTGGTTTACCTTATCTAAAATTCTATTGCTGTTTTTACTGGAATCATGGTAAACTTATGACTTTTTGATGTTGGGTCTTCCTTGCCAAAAACATGGAATGCCTTAACATATGCTCATATTTAAAATATTTGAAAGGAGTAAATTTATAGTCATGTTCTTTCTGCTTAAGTTTACCCTTTTTAAATGATATTTTACTAATTACAAAATTTATATATATACATGTAGAAATTTTTTCAACTACTAGAACTTTTAAAAGAAAAAAATATTTCCTATCCTCATCACTCAGAGGTAACCACTGTTCAAGTTTAGTTGTTAATACAAAAAGAATATGTACAGTTTATACAAGTAGAAAAGCATTGCATGTACCATTTTGTGACCTGCTGCTTAATTTAGTATAAATGATGAGTATTTAAGACATCATTAAGTATTTAAGATAATGTTGACTATAAGTGATCAGTTAAGTCACCATTTATTTATGAATTTTAAATTCCATATTATATTAACTGTATCATTAAAATAACCTGCTCAAATGGCAACCTACCTGGAAATCAAATATTTAGTATTTCCTAAATTATTTATACATCCTTTTCCCATTGACATAGATATCTTTACATAGCTCCCATTTTAGCATTGGTTGGCATTTTGTTTTTCTTCCTTCCTTTTTTTTTTTTTTTCCTGGCAGCCGGCTGGTATGAGGATCTGAAGTTCCTTGTCTTTGTATTATAAGCATTTTCCATGTTCCCATGCAATCTTTATTATTATCAGTTTTTATTATTATCTTTGATGGCAATAGACCATTGCATCATACAAATGTGCCATAATTAATCCTTCTCCTACTATAGAATATTTAAGCTGTGTAACTATTTTTAAACAATTGTAAAAGTTCAGTATAAATTTTAATACAAAAATATTTAGCTTGTATTAATATAAAATACATTTGCATTACTAAAAGTTGTAGCAAACCTATTTGTACATACAGCTTTCTAATTATTTATTTAGGATGCATTCTTAGAAGACACACATTACCAGGTCAGGAGATGAACTCTTTTATGGTTCTTGGTATCAAACAAATACCAATCTTATGTTTTAAAAACATTTACCCTCCATCTAGCATATACACAGCAAATATTTTAAGTTTACTAATGATACTTTCTGCCAAACAGAATCTTCTCATTTTTAAAAAATAAGAGCTGACAGCTGTTTATGTATTGTCTTATTTCATACCAAAGCTTTTGATTTTATTTTTAAGATTTCATTTTTTAGAGCAGTTTTAGGTTCAGCACAAAATTGAGCAAAAAGTACAAAAGAGTCCCGTGTTACCCTGCCCCACACATGCCCAGTGTTGGGAAAATAGAATAGTTTGGTCAGGGCCCTCGCCTCACCTCAGGTCCAGTTGGGTGTGGTTTTAGCACATCCTTTGTAAGCAAATTGTGTGTGTGTGTGCGCGTGTGTGTGCGTGTGCGTGCGTGGGCGTGTGTGTGTGTGTGTGTGTGGAGTTAGTGCACATGCGCACCAATGTATCTTTTTAGTTTTGTTGCTATTCTTGTGTTCTTCAGAGAGAGAGAGAGAGAGAGAGGAGTTTTAGTGAAGCAGGCAGGTGGGTGTCTGCCTTGGGCATCTGCCTTGGGAGTCCTTCCGGTGCAGCCATGCTTTCCAACTTGCAGCTTCCAAGGACCTTTTAGCCAGTTACCTAGCTCATAGACCTGCATGTAAGGGGTCTGGGGACCCAGCCTGGCATGTGAAGGATTTTGACCCAGTCTGTGAACGTGCTTGAGGGTCTCTGAGCTCCAGACCCAGCCTTAGCTCGACAATTGGCCCAGTCGGTGCAGGATTACCAGCAGGTAAAAGAGCCCGACAACTGGCGTGGTCGAGTAGCTTTACAATTGGCATCTCGAACAGGATTAAGAGCTAGACAATTGGTGCTGTGAGCAGGATTCCAGACATTAGCTTAGCAGAGCTCCACACCCAGCCACCCCCACCATCAGCATCTCACACTAGAGTGGTACATTTACTGCAAGCGAAGAACCTACTTTGACACATCATTATCACCCAGAGTCCCTAGTTTACATTACCTTTCACTCTTGGTGCACATTGTACAGGTTTTGACACAGTGTGACACAGAGTAGTTTCACCACCCTAAAAATCCTCTGTGCTCTGCTTATTCACCCCTCCAAACTTTTGATTTTTATGGAGCAAAATCTACTAACTTTTAATCAAACCAAGAGTTATTAAATACCCATTTAGAAGTTATAAGCCATACCCGTAATAAAGATGTAATACCTTTTTTTTTTTTTTACATTTTGCCATATTCTCTCTCTTTCTCTCTCTTTTCCCCGCACTCCACCCCACTCAGCCATTTGAGAGTAGGTTACAAACATCATGCTATAAGGTCAAAGAGATTGTCTTACATAACCACGTACTGCAGTACAGTTATAAATTCAGGAAATTTGACATTGACACAATACTTTAAGCTACAACCCATATTCCAGTTTTGTCAGTTATCCCAATTGTGTCTTTTATAGCACTTTTTGGTACAGAATTTAATTAGGATCACAGCATTTGACCGTGTCCCTCTTATGTTCTTTAATCTGGAATAGTTTCCTTAGCCTTTCTTTGTCTTTTATAATATTGACACTTTTGAGGATTATGGGCCAGTTATTTTATAGAATTTCCCTTAATTTGGGTTTGTCTGATGTTTCCTCATGCTGAGGATTCAGTTTATACTTTTTTTCCCCCTTTTATATTCTGGAGGCTCTGCTTTTTTTCTAATTTATTTTTTTAATTGACAAATAAAAATTGTATATACTTATTGTGTACAGCCTGTTGTTTTAAAATACTTATACATTGTGGAATGGCTAATCAAGCTAATTAACATGTGCGTTACTTCGCATACTTATTTTTGGTGGTGAGAACACTTAAAACCTACTCTCAGTGATTTTCAAGAATACAATACATTGTTATTAACTGTAGTGACCGTGTTGTACAGTAGTTCTCTTGAATTTATTCCTCCTGTCTAACTGAAATTTTGTACCCTTTTACCACATCTCCCCAACCACCCCACCCCGCAGCTCTCAGCCCCTGGTGACCACCATTCTACTCTACTTCTGTGAGTTCAACATTTTTAGGTTCCACATATAAGTGAGATCATGAGGTCCTTGTCCTTCTGTGTCTGGCTAATTTCACTCACATAATGTCCTCCACATATGACAGGATTTCCTTCTTTTTAAGGCTGAGTAGTATTTCATGTGCATCTCCATTCATTCTCTTATGGACGCTTAGGTTGATTCCGTATCTTTGCTATTGCGAATCGTGCTGCAATGAACAGGGGAATGCAGTATCTCTCCAACATCCTCTTTTTGTTTCCTTTGGATATATACCCAGGACTGCTGGATTATATTGTAGTTATTTTTAATTTTTTAAGGAAACTCCTTACTGTTTTCCATAATGGCTGTACTATTTACATTCCCACCAACCGTGTAGGAGGGCTCCCCTTTCTCCACATCCTTGCCAACAATTGTTATCTTTTGTCTTCTTGATGATAGCCATTTGAACAAGTGTGAGGTGATATCTCGTTCTGGTTTTAATTTGCATTTCCCTGATCATTAGTGATGTTGAGCATTTTTTCATTTAGCTGTTGACTATTTGTATGTCTTCTTTTGAGAAATGTCTGTTCAGATCCTTTGCCCACTTTAAAATCAGGTGATTGGTTTTCTTGCTATTGAGTTGTTTGAGTTTCGTACATATTTTGGATTTTAGCACCTTATCAGATATATGGTTTGCATATATTTTCTCTCATTCTGTAGGTTGTCTCTTCACTCTGTTGATTGTTTCCTTTGTTGTACAGCAGTTTCTTAGTTTGATGTAATACCATTTGCCTATTTTCACTTTTGTTGCCTGTGTTTTTAGGATCATATCCAAAAAAATCAATTGCCCAGACCAGTGTCATGGAGTTTTTCAACCCCATGTTTCCTTCCAGTAGTTTTATAGTTTCAGTTCTTAAGTTTAAGTTGTTAATCCATTTTGAGTTGATTTTTTGTATATGGTGAAAGGTAAGGGGCTAGTTTTATTTTTCTGCATGTAGATGGATATCCAGTTCTCCCAACACCATTTATTGAAGATTGTCCTTTCCCCATTGTGTATTGTTGGCATCTTTGTCAAAAATTTACTGACTGTAAATGCATGGATTCATTTCTAGGATTTCTATTTTATTTCATTGGTCCATGTGTCTGTTTTTATGCCAGTACCATGCTGTTTTGGTTACTATAGCTTTGTAATATATTTTGAAGTCAGGTAGTGTGATGCCTCCAGCTTTGTTCTTTCTGCTCAGGATTGCTTTGGCTGATCTGGGGTCTTTGGTGGTTCCATATGAATGTTAGGATTGTTTTTTCTATTTCTGTGAAAAATGGCATTGGAATTTTGATAGGGGTTGCATTGACTCCATAGATTGCTTTTTTGTATGTGACACATATCATGCTATGAGAACAAGGAGACTGTCTTATATAACCACATACTGCACTACAGTTATAAATTCAGGACCTTTGACGTTAATGCAATACTTTAATCCATATTCCAGTTTTGTCAGTTGTCCCAATAATGTCTTTTAGAGCAATTTCTGGTACAGAATCTGGCCAGGATCACATATTATATTTAGCCCTGTCTCTTTAATCTTCTTTAACCTGGAATAGTCTTGTTAGCTTTTCTTCATCTTTGATAATATTGACATATTTGAGAACTACGGCCCAGTTACTTTATAGAATTTTCCTTAATTTGGGTTTGTCTGATGTTTCCCCCTGCTGAGGATTCAGGTTATATATTTTTGTGTGATGTTGTATCTTTTTCAGGTATCATGTCCAGAAGCTCATTACGTTCATTTGTCCCTTATTGGTGATATGAGTTGATCACTTGGTTAAGGTTTTGTGTATTTTCTTCTCCCTGTAGTTCCTATTTTTCCTTTTGTATTAATAAGTAACTTATGGGGAGGCATTTTGAGACTGTTCTGTTTCTCATTGCACTCTTCCCCCTACGAATAGCATCTAATCATAGTTCTGGAATGAATCAGTTTTCACTATGGTGCTTGAAATCTGTCATTATAATTAGCAGACATCTAATGAGCTCTCACAGATGCCGACGCACTATTCTAAGCATATTGTAACAACACTATGAAGTGGGTATTATTATCACCCCCATTTTGCAGATAAGCAAACTGAAGTATAAAAATATTGTCTGCCCAAGGTCACCCAACAAGTGTAGGTAGAATTTAAACTCGGGCTGTCTGGCTTCAGAGCATGTGCCATTATCTGCTTCATAAAGCTGCCTATTAATCTTTTACTGTATGGATTCCATCTTTGCCTGTATATTTAATAAGACATTCTCTTCCTGGGATAAGATAAATATTTTTAATATTTTCTTCCAGTCATTTGGTGGTCTCATTTTTGTACATTTATGCCTTGAGATATTTATTCAGTCGGCAATTGAAAATTCCGATTTAAAACCTGAGAGTGAATTCGTGGGTCTGGATTAGGTTGAGGAGTATTAATTTCTGATCCTTTTGGAGTGAATTTTGACTGTCAGGAGGTCAGTGTTTTGTGATTTTCCTCTTTGTTCCTGGATGACAGGTCCATCCTGGAGCCACTTTTGGAGCGCAGGGCCTCGTCAGGTGCCAGAGTTGAAGATCTGCCCCTCAAAGAGGACAGTGAGAACCGGATCAGCAAGTTCAAAAGAAAAGACTGGAGTCTGAGCAAGTCCCAGGTCATTGCAGAGAAAGCTCCAGAACCTGATCTGATGGTAAAAAAAAAAAAAAAAAAAAAAAAAAAAAAAAAAAAAAAAAAAAAAAAAAAAAAAAAAAAAAAAAAAAAAAAAAAAAAACACTGGCATTTTGCCCATGGCTCCACCCCGTAAACCAGGAACATCCCCGTTCACTCCATAGCAGTGAGTCACCAGGTAGAAGCCACCTGGCCTGTCTCAGGACACAGCAGCCTGTGGCAGTGTCAGATTGTACATTGTGGTAAGGAAAGCATGTATAGAGAATGTCAAGTCTAAATCAATATTGGCACAAGGTCTTGTACCCACAACATAAACATGTGGGTTGATAGTTGGAGTCGTGGTTTTCACCACTATGTTCCATGAGTCAATCCAAACATTGTCATTTCTGTTCTTTTAACTTAAAAAAAAAAAGTCCTTTTTTTCTTTCATAAGCCACATCAAGTTGTTAAGTATGGCAAGACCAGCTTTCCCTGAGAATCGGGGTGGCTTATTTACAACATAAATGACACAATCCAGCTGCAGTCAAAATCAAGTCCGTGGCCAGCCAGAAAATAGTCAATGGTTCGGTGATTCCCGGTTAGTATCTCTGCCAGGATGCCCATTACATGACAGCGTGGTCCGCTTAGACATGGCTCCTCGAATTGTGTCCTTCTACAAGTTTCTGCTCAGCAGATGAGGCTGCTAAGAACATTGTTGTGTTCAGCCTTCCTCACCATGTTTTTTTTCTGCTTTCCCCTCTGGTACTAGAGCCCAACCAGAAGAGCACAGAGGCCGAAGAGTCTCCAGCTGGTGGACAACCGGCTAACGCCGTTCCATGGTGCTCCACCTGCCCAGTCAACGCCCTTGAGCCCACCCCCACTTACTCCTAAAGCTGCCAGGACCCTAAGTAAGATCTCCTACATCCCTTATATTCTTTTTACTAGGGAACAGAGCATGTTTATGAATCTGGGAAATTTTAAATTAAACCAGCCACAACGTATAGGAGACTGTTGTAAAGTTGGTTCAGTTCAGTGGGAGTTGAGTATGCTACATTTAGACTAGAGTTTGCCCAGGATGCCATGGGCTGCTCAGACTCATTAAACTTTGCTGTATCATGAGCCATAGGGTCTTAATGACCCTTTTCCAGTTGTGAAGGTATAAAAGAGGTAGATTTGGACTAGGACCAAACAGGAAGCCAGTAACTCATGAACTAATTATTGGGTAGGCAGACATGTACAGGGAACAGTATAGCTCCATTCTGTTTACAGCTGACAGTCTGGCTCGGGGAACCAGCAACACCCAAGGCCTGAGCAGAATTGCGAGGCACCCACAGTACAAAGGCATAATGGGGGATACACCTGTCAGTGATAGGTGGGAGACAGTAGTCACCACGAGTTAGAGATAATCATGTAAGGTTTCCTGGAGGAACTGGATATTGTCCTAAGCATTTGGGTTATGTCAGAGTTAAGTTCCAGAAACTTCTCATCTTCAGCTTAACAGTGAAAAACTCTGGACCAAAAATGAAATTTTTGCTTCAGAACTTCTTGTCATGCCTTCTTGTGAATGACGGGTGCTACGCTGTTGTGTGAGAAATCTTCATTCCGTCCGTGGAAACCACAGAGTGTGGCTTTAGCAATTTGATTGGCCAGAGTGATTTAGATATTACAATGGCAAGCAGAACTTCTATGAGATTCCTTGATAAATTCTTTGCTTTCATCTACTCTGTATCATTTCTAGGCTCCCCGTCTTTGCAGACAGATGGACTGGTGACTGCTCAGAGCCCACCCCCACCTCCCCCGAAGAGCAAGCCCTACGAGAGCAGCCAGAGGAACTCCACCGAGGTAGGTAGAGAAACAGGGCTGATGACTGTGGCCAGACAGCCCTGCCCCTGGGAAGACAGCATGGGGTTTTCCAGGCTTTATAGTTGGCAGGTTTTCCCTGGGGAAAACTGCTGGGGATATAGCAGTGATTGGGTGTGCATGTGTGCATGTGTGTGTGCGTGTGTACGCATGTGTATGTGTGCATGTGCATGTGTGCCTCTGTGTGTGCATGTGTGCTTGAGTGCATGTATGTGTGTGCGCATGTGTGCATGCATGTGTACTGCGTGTGTGTGCCTCTGTGTGCTTATGCATGTGTTTGCATGCATGCACATGTGCATGTGTGTATGATTAGCTCAGGGGCAACAAGGGAGGACAAATCAGGTATTTCCCTTTCCACCTTGCAAAGCCTGCATAGATAGATCAATTAGAAACTAAAGCAGAATGTGGGAAATGGGGAGGAGAAGGCAGAAGTGGGAAGAAAGATAAGACTCATTTCTGATTGCATGTGTCTGCTTGCACAGGTGGCTCCCCCACTGCCTGTGCGAAGAGAAGCCAAAGCCCCACCCCCACCTCCTCCAAAAGTTCGGAAATCTGGCATCCTTTCTTCTGAGCCTGGATCCCAGTAAGGATCTTGCCCTCCCTGTAGAACTCCAAGTGCCTAGGACAGCTGCTGCCTGAGGACTGGCCTCCAGGAGACGGTGTCCTCGTTACACAGGGTCCCTGCTGACTGTGTGTCCTGACCTGGGATGGTGCTAACCAGCTCAGAACCAGCTTTGTTCTATTGAAAGCGCCTCTTTGATAGGTGTTTGAGGCCATGCCACATCTCTTCCAGTCCATGTGAAATTCCAGAATTGGCCATGTCCTGTGCATTTTTCAAAGGAGAGATCACCTTCACCATTATTAAATTCCAGCTTCTATTGCAGAGACCCTGGGGGCTGCAAAAGGCTGAACAGGTGAATGGTTCTTCTGCATGATGGTGGAGCAACTCCAGTAACCTACTCCTTGGAGGGATTTCTTGCTTTGCTTCTGAAAAGCCATGCTTGAGATTTAGTTACTTTTCTCGCGTGGACATGCCTATCTCATATAGCATCATGGAAGAGACAGATATTGAGTACAGTTTGGTAGCCAAAATAATTCCATCTTTCTAATGTCTACTGTGTCTCATTTGAGGAAAGGAACATATATTTTTAGTGGAGATTGGCTGCTTTCAGGCATGCATGACTGTCATTGTTGAGAGAACGTGGACTTAGATGGGGGCCCCGAGCTCCTGCATCACCCCCGGCCTCTTGGGGCACAGGAAGACTGCACTCCCCCTCCCCCCACCAGAATTCCACCACACTCCTGACTAATGGCCCTCACTGCACGGCCTTTCTTACTATGGATCCCCTTGAAGCTCTTCCTTTTACACATACAGTCTCTTGTCCCGTTACCTCCTCTGAGCTGAGATCACTGCAGATCCCATTTGTATGACTGAGTGGCCCCTGCCTGCTACCTGACTTTACCCTGAGAATACAGTGCAATATTTTCCTTTGATTATTTATTCCTCTCGACTGTGGACTTATTTTGATTACTCACTAATGGTACTAATGTCAATACTCCTTTCAGAAGAAAAAATGAGCGCTGACCCCGTGGTGCACTCGGGAGGGTGCGGCGCTGGGAGCGCTGGAGCGCTCCCGCCACGGGTTCGGATCCTAAATAGGGATGGCAGGTGTGCTCACTGGCTGAGGGCGGTGCAGCCGGTCACACACAAAAAAAAGACAAAAAAAAAAGAAGAAAAAAATGGGGAGATTTAGATGACCAAATATTACATAAACATACACATACATAAATTGCTGTACAAAGCTACTGACGTTCTGAGCTACAAGGGCCTTAAAGGTCATACAAACAACCCCCTCATTTAATAGATAAAGAATTTGAGGCTACACACAAAATTGTACTACAGATTCTTACTAATACCCCAGCTTGTGAATTTTGGCTATACCCAGGTGACACTTAGATGTAGAATGCAACTCTGACAAACTCTTGAATACCCACCCCGAGTTGGAACAATATTTGAAATGTGCCAGATATCTCTCTACTCCTTAGGTATTTATGACAAAGCTGAAAGCTTTTTGTCCGTGAATCCAAAGGTCATCCTAGTGGAAGTTCAGCCGGGGGCTCTTCCCCGAGCTTGCCCAGAGTCCTTTCCTCAGATGGAGAGCAGAGAAAGACTTCAGCTGTGAGAATTTGCACTCCCCTGCCTGCCTGCCTAGTGGTTGCCTTGTTTCTCCACCACCCTTTAGGAGAGACACCACTTCATCACAAGGATCAAGGAAGCAAAAGCCTCTGTCACGCGTCTAGTGCGTTACTCAAGAAATTAGTATGCATATTCTAGAAGCAGTGGAAAAGGTCGTTTTTTACCCCCACCCAGGATAACTTACAGTGTGGTATCATGGAAAAAGCACAGGCTTTGGAATTAAACCCATTTGGTTTCAAATCCCAGCCATGTCATCTATTAACCTTGTAAAGTCCCACAAATTATTTGAAATTCTCTGAGCTTTCATCGTCTCACCTTTCAGAATGTTGTAAGGTTCATTTGAGATGGGATATGAGAAGGAGCAGGTCCTTTCTTTTCTTGGCTAGGCCTGAGTAAGATCTGGAACTCTCTAGGAGCATTATTAACACACTTTTTTTCCTGAATGTAATTTGGAATGTGAGTGCAGGGGAGTTCTGCACAGACAGGATTTCTCTGAAAGATAAGAATCTTTTGGAGCCTTTTTAATTACTTATGACAAGAGACAAAGTGTCAATGAGAACCGACAAGGATCTTTAGTGGAAAGAACTTGCCTTGTAGAGAAAGGCGGAAGTAATAGGAAGGTCACGTAGGGCTTACGTGGAGCCCCTGAGAAGTCACCTAGCAGACTGGCTAGAGGGGGGTTATATGCCTCCCCTGACTTTTCAGGCTGACATTAAAATAGAAAGACATTGGGTCACACACACGAAAAGAATCAAATCTGAAACCTCTCCTTGCAGAGCAATAGAAGTGAGTCTGGTGTTTGAGTGGAGGCTGAGGAGACCCGATGTATCAGCACCCAGCATCTACCTTCCCTTTTTAAATGGAACATATATCCCCATATGATTCTCTTCCCAAATTAATGGAAATGATAGTTCTTTGTTGCCTGAACACAAAGGGTTCCAGGTAGCGTTGTACATAAAAGATTACAGCAGACATTGGAGGGTTCGTTTCCTTGGGAAGCTATTAGGGTAAGAAAGAGTCATATTTAACCAAAGGTCATAAAGTCTATCCTGAAGTCAAAGAGAAAGACTGCAAAGAAATGCCTTACAAAATTCAGAAGAGGTGAGGAAGGAAGAAATCAGAGAAAGAACTGGTTTTTATTTCCCTTGCTAAGAACTCTGGTGTATTGAAAGACATTGAAATTAGCCCCCAAATCGTCAGACTTTGGGATTGGTTTATGGTTTGTGGGTTTCATCTGGTGGTATATTAAATCCTTTTTTTTTTTTCAGCCTCTCTGTCTTGGTGATATGTCTTGCTTTGAAATTTTTTAAAATAGTTGTTTTATTCAACATATTTTAAGTTCTTTTCAAATGCCAGACACAGCCCTAGCCCCTCAAGATGGGTCAGTTCCATGTGTTTAATGGAAATGGCCCCATATGCAAAGACAGTTCACCCTGGTGTGCTGTAGAATTGGAAAGCGAGTGGAATCAGATGAAAACAAAACCCTAAACCAGGCTGCTGGGCCGTGGGTTTTTTCCTTTGCCAACTTCATCCCTGGGCTCTAGAACTGCAGTCATTTTCTCCTGCCAGGAAAACCCTTTAAAAACTGCAGCCACGCTGCAAATTGGAAAGATAAAAAAAGATAGAAAGCAGAACTGATAACAGTCTACCTTTGTTAACTCTTTCCTAGCTGGAAGAGTCCTTCCCCTCTAGATGCCCCAGTGATGGGGCGATTTCTTATTTTAAAATTGAGACGGGACTTACATACAGTCAAATGCACAGATCTCAGCTGTGCAGATGGATAAATGTTCACATAGCTTTTCACCCATGTTGCCACCTCTTGGATGCAGACGTTACCTGTTTCCGCAGAATGTTCCCGTGTGAAAGGTGTTCAGGAGGCTGCTCATGTTTGTGCCTTCCTCCCTCATGCTTCACAGGTGTGATAAAAAGAAGGACCTACATCCACACAAACGAGACTGAAAAGATCGTGTACCTTTTAGCAAGTAGTCAATCTGTAGTCAGTCCCTGGGATTCAATTTCCTCATCTGTGAAAACTGATGTGTATGTTTGAGGCAACGTGATTTGTAGAATCCTTGCAGCCCTCGCTGCTTTTATTCCAAGTCAATAAAAAGAGGGAGAGTCAGGAGGCGACTCAGTTTCTGTACCGAGGCTTTCAGCTACACACACTACATTCATTTTTCATCCCAGCTGGGTGCTTCGACCCTGCCATACCCAGGCTTTTAAAATCAAAAGATTTGTGGACACTAAAATTTTGAATATGCCAGTAATAATCCAGTACACATTGAAACGTTGAACCAAATTACCATAATTCTCTGCAGCAACCTGGAAACAACATCATTTTCCTAATAGTCTTCAGACTTCACCAGCCTGGCGTGCTGTATCTAGACTTTCAGTTATTTTAATAATCATGCTTTCCTTCCCTGTAGCATTTGGGAAGTTGATAAGTATCACTTCCTTGGAAACTTTCATTCAGTTGTAAGTCTGTGTTTTTTAAGTTAAATTGGAAAAGGTAAGTTTCTCTGTGGGCAGGTGTAGGGTTGAACCATCAATTCTAATCTACCAAAGGAAAGAAATCATTTTCCTTTCAGGTTAATTATTTCAGGCTGATTCTTCGGATCCAGCCAAAGCTGGTCTCCAGTACATGCTGCCTAGATTCAGCTATTAGTCATATTTTATGAGCTGTTCATCCAAACTGTGTCAAAAATTCCTTTACCATGATTTTGTAACTAGTTGGGTTTCACATACGAACAGTTAGGGAGACATGCATTGAAGTAGAAGAATTTTGTTCAGATTTGCTGTTATTTATTTTTAAAAATAAAAATGGAAATGTATTTTAAAGTTTATTGGGTGTTTAGCTTGTGATTCCTGAACTTCGTAATCTCCCCATTGGCGCCTCCTCATGCATATCACGCCCAGCATCCGTCTGGCTTGTTCCAGTGCAGGTCCTGTTGGTTTAACTTGTACTGCGGGGTCTTGAGTCATCTCTGTCCAGAAGTGATAACAACTGCAAGGTGTTCGGTTCTCTCACACCTCCCGCCCGTCCCTTTGGTGTCTGAGCTGACGGTTTTCTCATAGCAGTTGATTTCATGTTCTCAGATCCTATTTCTTTACTCATTCACCACGGATAATTAGGCAGAGGAAAAGAGGGAAATAAAAAGGTTGAAAGGGATATCTAATGACTTATATGCTGTATTAGTCCATTTCTGTGGCTTATAACAGAATACCTGGAACTGGGTAATTTACCAAAAAAATGAAACTTATTGTTTACAGTTTCAAAGGCTGGGAAGTCCACAGTTCAGGTAACACATCTCGTGAGGGTTTTGGTGGTGGTGACAGTGACGACAGAGTATCCCATTGTGAAAGGGGTGGAGCAGAGAGAGAGGCTCCTCTTCTTTTAAACCTCTTAGAACCACACCCCTGACCACCATTTTTAATCCATTCACTACTGCACGGTCCTACAATCCAATCACTTCTTCAAGGCTCCACCTTTCAATTACCAGGATAGGATTTCCCACCCTCTTAACAGTCACAGTGGGGGCCAAGTTTCTAATACATAAAACTTAGGGGACACAATTCAAGCTTCAGTGAGTTTTGGGGGGACATAATTCAATCCATGACACATGGAGAGGGTAGGAACTGATCTTCAAACTAGGTTGAACATTAGTATCACTTGGAAAAAGGCCGCACCCCAAATCAATGACAGTGGTTCCCCCTTATCCATGGTGCTTTCTGCAGTTTGTTACTCGTGGTCAACCACAGTCAAATATTAGATGGAAAATTGTGTGCTGTTCTGAGTGGTGTGATGGAATCTCCTCCTCCCCCTCCACCCCATCGTCTAGCATCTCCCGCCCGGTAGTCATGGCGTGCAGCTGCCTGGGTTATCAGATTGGTTGCCGCGGTATTGCAGGGCTTGTGTTCAAGTGACCATTATTTTACTTCATAATGGCCCCAAGGCACAAGAGTAGTGATGATGGCAATGCAGATATGCCAAAGAAAAGCTGTAAAGTGTTTCCTTTAAGTGAAAAGGTAAAAGTTCTTGACTTAATAAGGAAAGAAAAAAAATCATATGCTGAGATTGCTGACATCTACAGTAAGAACAAATCTATTCCTGAAATTGTGAAGAAATTTGTGCTGGCCTTTCTGTTCCACCTCACGCTGCTGCAGGTAAGGCACAGTGCCTGGTACGGGATAGTTAAGATGGAAAAAGCATTACATTGGCGGGTGGAAGACATGGACAGAAACGTGTTCCGATTGATAGCATTCAGGTGTCACCCACGGTTTCAGGCATCCACTGCGGGTCTTGGGATGTACCCTGCAGATAAGGAAGGACTACTGAACATCAGAATTTCTGAGGGTGGGGCATAGGACCTAGGCATCTGTACTTCTTTTAAATCTCCCCCATGTTATTCCAATGTTAGCCCAAGGTTGAGAAACCACTGCCTCCAAGGGAGTGGTTTTCACTTTAGGAAATTGGTATTGAAGATGTGTTTTGTAAAATCCCTGCTATGGGGGGCAGGTGGGGGAAGCGGACACTGCATTTCCATTAGAGTAGCCTCATTTTTAGTCCTGGCCTTATGCTTAAGTTTATTGTTTTTTAAAGAAAGTGTCCCAGTGCTTTTAAACATCTGCCATCTATTGCTTTTTACAAGCAATAATGCTCCACTGTCTATGTGCCTAATAATCACCAAGATGCTTGTTAAAAATGCAGATGGCTTGGGCCCCAGACTGAATCAACAGGCCTGGGGAATCTTTTGGGATCTAGGGCCCCCACTGAGAAATTCTGCTTTAGCGCATCTTCCACTGTTGAGATCTGTAAATACTGTTTTCTACGCAGTCACCCTTGGCTTCTTTTCCAATCACCTCCGGAATATTGCAACTTCTAAAACTTTTTCCTAAAATAATTTATTTTCAAGCCATTCTTTTCGCTACCTGATCATTTAGAGCTGTATACTTTCAGGAACACATCTCATTAAATGTATTATGTAATGTTTTTCCAGCCTTTTGAAGGGCTTCAGAACTTTCTCTTTTTTTGAAGCTATACTGATGAGTTCTTCGGATTTAGGAAAACATTTAACATTTAGTAAAAGAGCCATTTTTACTCTTCTTCCTCTTGGTCATTTGGCAATCAAGTGCACCCAACATGCTCACACAAGTTGCAAACCTCCAGATATCTGATGTCAGCATCTGTATGAGCATCTTTTCATCCCCTTCAGGGAAATTGTCCCAAAGACAAGCTCTGACAAAGGAAACCTGACACTCCAAACATGATGTATAAAATTGAGTGAGTTGTTTTTTTCAATGTGTTAACTAATGTGAAGATTGTAAGTGACATTTTTTATTCAAAAATATATTTACATCATTAGCAAACAAGGCTCTCATCCTGCCTTGTATGTGCTGATTAATGAAATGATGCAGTTTTGCTTTTTCCCATAAAGCAGATTGTGGATCACATCACTGCCTAATTTTTGAAGTGGGAGTAAAGAGGTTGTTTGATTCAGTTTCAGAGATTCTTCAAATGGAGATATTTGTGAAATCTAGCATAGTGCTGTAGCAAATATCTGTATTAAAAATGGATGGTTTTCTCCCCATGGAATATTTCTGACCCATGTTCAAATGTCTTAGCATAGGTCCCCCCTTTTTTAGAGGTTGAGGGACAGAGGGCAGGGGGAGGGGAGGTTTCGTTTGTCTGATAAAAAGAGGAAAATGGGACTTTTGTCATGTCAATTTGTTGCTGAGACATTCAGCAAGTTATTTGAAATCTGAGTTTTTCAAGTGGTCTCATAGCTACTTAGAAAGCATAAGAATACGTGAGAATATTAGTGTCATAGTGTCTGGGACCTCACAGGGAAATAGTCACCAGTAACACTACGTTGACCTGTGCTGTGAGCCCCTGTACCCTATTTCAGCTCCGTTTAACAAAATAACCCAGTGTCTAAAGTCCATTTGCATTAACGGCATGACATGGTGCAATTGCAGAAGCAGAGAATTGGAAACCAGTCAGAACTGAGTGGGTCTCTTAAACTCTCTGGCTCCAGTGTCCTCATTTTAAAGCAATGACAATAACTTCTACGTTCCAAGGTCATTTAGGGTGGTTAGTGCAAATATTTGTGCACATGTCTAGCACAAAGCCTGACGCTGGGCTTTGTGGAGAATGAATGGTGGCAATGCTGTTTGACCAGGGGACATGGGAACACCAGAATCCTGGCTTCAGTGGACTGACTGTACTCTGTTGCATTTCTCGAGTGAAATACCATTAAGATCAGACAGGGGAACAATCTATTACTTTCAGGCCTTGGTCCCAAGCCTCAGTGTGCACCACTTGGACAGACCACATGGAACCCGAAGAAGCATTGGACTAGCAGCCCTTCCAGGCTCCTTTCCCCCAGGCCTCACTTGGGTTCCAGTTGACTTCCAAAGGCATTGGAGACGATCTAGGGAGAGAACTTCTTCCCAAGTGGGAGGAAGCCTTGGCCATGGCCCCAGTTTGCTTCTGTAGAGCAAGGTCAAAGATAAAATTATCGCCCTGTAGATACTGTTTCTGAATCTGCTCTTTTTGGCCTGGATCAACATGTGACTGGTGGATGCAGTCCTTGTTGATGCAGGGTAGGGTGACGGAGAGCCCTTTCCTCAACAGCAGACAGGTTATCTTGTCTCCCTCCCATCTGCCACCTCTGCACATATGTGGAGGGCTCTCTTTGGTGGGCTCACTGTGTCCCTCCCCCGAGAGTCCTGATTTAAAAACTTAACAGGTATATACCACCTTATTCACAGCACAGTGCTTTATTATGAAATATGTGCAACTTAGTGTAAGAGTTTCTGAAATTCGCACAAATTACAGGTGTTCAGTGGGTCATAAATTTCAATTGTGGAAGTGTTGTCAATCCTTCTGGCCCAATGGAGTTAAATCTTCTTTTGCCCAGTTTCCTCTTCAATCAGACTTTCCTGAAAAATATGTAAGAAACCTATCAAGATTGACTTTACTAGCTGAATTATTTTATGTTTTTGACATTTTAAAGAGAGCTGGCCAGTTAGCTCAGTTGGTTAGAGCATGGTGCTGATTAACACCAAGGTCCAGGGTTCGATCCCTCTACCAGCCAGCCACCAAAAAAGACATTTTAATTTCTAAAATATTGATCTAAAAGAAATAGGTCCATTTATTTTCATGCTATAGAGATGTGACAGATTGCCTTTTTAAGCTGCTAATAAACATAAAATCTATATTAATGGTTTAAGGATATGATGTGAGGAAGGAGATGAAAGAAAGGTCTTGCCAATCAGTTTGCTATTAAAACAGCCTTTGCCTGAACTCATAATTGTCATGTTTGGGAAATGTCACTGCTTGCTATTATTTTTATCATACAGTAAGTAAGATTAGAAAAAGAAAGGAAATAAAGATGTCTGCCTACATTTTTCTTTGCTTTGTGGGTATGGAAGTTGAAATCACTGGAGAAAATTAAAATTATAGCTTATCTTCATATATGATTTATTCAGACTTTCCTTGCTCCTAGGCATAATTGATAATTAACTGTAATGTCTTCTGACTGCTGCAAATACGTGGACCATGGAACTCAAAGAACACCAATATTGAATTCAATTTCTATATTTAATTCTCTTTCTACTTTTTCATCAAAAACATATATTGGATTAGTAGATATCCTATTTTTTTTGTTGTTGTTTTTGGTGGGAATTGGAGATCATATAGCCCTACCAGAAAACAGGAAATCAACTCTTTGGCTCTGAATTATAAATTTACTAGTTTGGAATTTTTTATTCCAAAGGTGGAAAACAAACCCATATAAAGCACCATTTCTGATTTGTACATTTCCCAGGGTTTGGAAAACCATGTCATACCAAGAACAATTGCAGAATCAGGTGGAGGGGTGTGGATTAGGCTAGAGAAGAGTAGTCAAAGGGGACTGATGAATATACTTGGAGAACTGGAATATAGCAGTGGGAAAAAATTTGTTTTGTCAGTCACCCCATAAGGCCAGAACCAGTATAAGCTGATAAAGTATATAGAGAGATTTCACTTCAGTTTAAGGGGGGGAGAAAAAAAGAGTGTCATGAAATAGTGAGGGCCCTGCCACAGGAGGCATCCTGGCAGTCATGAAGGTAAGCCCCCACTGTGGCTAGGAGGTGGCTGTCCTAAGCGTTACCGAAGGGCCCTTCCATTTCTAAAGCTCTGTGTTATGATCTCTTTAACTCACCAGAACTCCTTTCAGGTCTCTGAGGGAAGAACGTGGCTGGTGGATGGTACATTCCATGCGCTGGGGTTCTGCTAGTTTGTCCACCTCCTGGGCTATCTGAAGAAAAAGAATGTGATTCTTGGAGATGGAAATAGAGAAATGAAATTATATTTTCCATTACCACCAAAAGTTGTCTGTACAAAGTGAAGTCGGGGGTGTTGTGGAGAGCTGGGAATGTGGCAGGATCTGGATGGAGACTTTAAGGACACAGATCCATCATCAGGGATTTTTACAGAATGATGTAGAGGTCAAGAGATTATAGAGATGGTGAGAAGAGAATGTTTTCTCCTTAAAAGACAATCAGAGTGGAGTAGTTTGAGCCTCAGGAAGAGACAGTACCCCAAATAACAAGAGTTTATAGTTGTGGGGAGCTTGGTTTTTATTTTCTAATTTTTACTAATATGTCATGATTAAGTGAGATTTGCTTCTCAGGTAATCTGTGGAGAGGAGACTTCAGATTCTGGGGCTTCCTTACTTTATTTTATTTTTTAGCAGCTGGCCGGCATGGGGATCTGAACCCTTGACCTTGGTGTTATAACACCGCGCTCTAACCAACTGAGCTAACCGGCCAGCCCTGGGCTTCCTTATTCAATACTAAATCATCTTTATTATTTCTCCAAAAAGAGACGTTTCTTTCCAATAACAATGAAATGGTTTTAAGTCCCTCGAGCCAAGCTTCCTATTCACAGCCCTATGTTAATTTTTTGATTTGTCAGCTAACATATATGGCCTCTCTAATGAAGTCCCTGCCCACCCCCGCAGAAGCCGCATGTTAGTGCTGCTGCTGGTACTGAATCTAACGTACATGCAATTCAATCTGGCCTGTTTCCTACTATACCGTTTTGTCAACTCGAGTTTGCTAACTCCTGTACTCTAGTCGTCTCCAGTTTCTTTGCTTAAATGCCCCCGTCGGTGCAAAAATTACAGGGCATGCATCTTTGGTAAGGATTTACAAATTATAAAAATGTACTACTGATCTAATATTACAGATATTTTTTAAAGATGAAATAAGAAAAATACATAAGCAGAATTTTTAAGCTTTTCTATCTAAATCCCAATGAATCATCTGCTGCTGGAGACCTAGACTACGTCTCACGGTTTATAATTCCTTTGGCATCATGTACACTCAGAGTACACCGGACTATCTTGCACTCGTTCTGTATTCTCTTGGAACTTGTCCTGCTCTTTGTTTTAGTAGCCCCTGCCTGGATTGCAAGGAGAAATGGGATTTGTAGCTTGTAAGTGTCTTTCCTCCCCTGGAGTATGTAGGGTAGAGCATAGGGCAGTGGCACCGAGGTTCCTACTGAGTGTTCAATATGGTTAAATGGAATCGAATAACCTACATCTCATTTTGAAGCTGAGAGAAACTTACCTCTCGGAAGGAATCAATCAAATTTTCAGCATTTCTCTTTCCTCCAGGGCGCAACCCATAGGACCAGTGTTGGCCAGAGCAACCTTCCACGCAGAAGATCAGCAGCATAAGTCCAGCTAGAAGTTTTGGAATCAGCTCCATTCTAAGGAACATCAACACACAGTCAAAACAGAACCAGGCTGGGTTGAGTAAAACATAAAGACCTCTTTAGTAAAAAGGCTAATGTCTGTATCATGAATCCCATAGAGGATGGAAGTTGGAGTTATACAGTTTTCACACACAGACACTGAAACACAGAGACACCTGCTTGCTTGACTTGAAATGCGAGCCACTTGGGGACAAAAGTGGTACTTTAAACTCACATGTTCAAGATTTTTTTGTACTAAGGTAGTCTATTTTTATTTTTATTATTTATTCAGTTATCCAAATCACGTGATTCATCCCTTATCAAATTCACTGTTTTGCTTTGACATTTCCCAAGCATGGATTTGTTTTCAACTATCATTCCTGCGATAACAAGAACTGGGCTATATGCTCTGAAAAGTAGCCCCTATTAGGAATCTCTGGCTAATACAAAATTGCTTGACATTAAGTGGCTACACTGTGGCACTAATGGCACTTTGCTATCTGTCCATTGCTGGCTGGGCCGTCTGTGAGAGCAAAAGAGGACCCAACACTGTTAAAACTAGTGAGTCCCTGACCAGATGCCTCCCTAGCCAAGGGAGTTTCCAATTATCTAATAAAATATGTCTCTGAATTAATTTTCGTTTGATGGACAAGAAGCCAAAGGCAAAATCAAATACTTATCGATGAGCTATTGGATTCCCCAAAGGCTGGATCTCTGTGGCTGGTGGTAACAAGCACAGCAAAGGACAAGGCTTCTTCACCATCACACCTGGATTTAGCCCTTGGAGGGTAAAGTGCCCTGTAGACATATAATAGCATGCAACCTAAACAGACAAAAAGAGCTAGAAATACAAAACATTTTACCTGCTTGCTGGTAAAAAACCAAAAGTATCCCAAGCTCCTTTGGGGTGTGTTGAGAACTGTGACTTTTCTATCTTCCTAGCTTCCTTTTTATATGAAACTTTTCGAGGACACTGAAATCTTTCCTGCTGGTAAATTATACTGCACATGGACTGTTTCTTCCTTTTTTTTTTTTTTTTGGATACTTATTTTTTTTAATCCTCACATAAAACTACTTTAATGGTGTATGTAATTGGAACACCCCCGGTGCCTTTGTTAAATTTACTTAAGTCTAGCCATTAAAACCTCAGCTAAAACTTTTATAGCTGAGGCCACAATTCAAAGAGATTAAAATCTAGCTAGGTTGGATTCCCTTGAGGAAACTGGCAGAACTATCAAGAGTTCAAAGAAAATAGATGTCTTAGATTAAGTGAATTTAAATGCACACTTAAAAACTTTCACAAAGGAGGCTATGCACTAAATATAGGAAGTTGAGTCAGAATGCTTGGGAGGTAGGTTCAGCTCCTAGATTCCTCATCTGTAAAAGGGGGTTTACACCAAATGATCGTAAAGTTACTTCCAAATCTGATTTGTAAATATTAGTAAGTGATTATTGGCACTATACCAAATCCATATAGAATCCCAAAGTAAATAGTGAGAGTTTGAAAATTCTCCACTCTCCTATGCATCAAGTTTTCTCTTGAATTACCTTGAAAGCCTTCAAAGCATCAAAAAGACAAGTAGAAACATCGTAGTTAGAAAATGCTAAGAGCAAGACCATACTGAGCAGACTTAGGTTGACAGTTCAACTCATCTCAGTAGATGCTTATTGAATTAAATATGCAAATCACTATGTTAACAGTAGTGGGAGCACAAAGATGAGAAACTAGTTACTTGCATGTAAATAAGGCCAACCTCACTCACAATAACAGCCCTGCAAAGTGGGTATCATCATCCAAATTTTAGATGTTCCACTCAATGTTGTGACCTTGGATGTTACTTATACAGTACAAGCTTGTAAAAAGAGAGAGAACCATTACCCTTTATTACATTCCTTTGAATACATGATTGTCTCCCCTAATTTAGCCCTAGGTAACACTATCATGTTACCCATGATAGTCAAAGATCCCATCTTATTTAAACTCTGTTAATAACCTTTGGCATTTAAGTCAGCATTCAATAAGTATAGGTTTGAATGAATGAATGAGTGAATAGGAAGCAAGGACCTTGTAACCAGATTAGACCTAATGCTTCCTCTGTTTCTGCATCAAAGATATGTTTTATCTTGCACAGAGTTATATCTTCATGTATAATTGGCTCTAAGGCCTATTACATTAGCTAAGCAGTAAAAGAGTCAAAAATAACTGCAGGGCCGGCCCGGTGGCGCACTGGAGAGTGCGCCGCTTGGGAGTGCGGCGGCAGGACATTTTATACGGATAAAATTTACTATCCACTGAAATATGTTCTATTTCTTTAGTTTAAATGATGAGTACATAGGGCTTCATTGTTGTTATTCATTATACTATATTTAAAAAAAAAGAAAACATTTTGGGCCGGCCCGGTGGCACACTGGAGAGTGCGCCGCTTGAGAGCACGGCGGCGCTCCCGCCGAGGGTTCGGAACCCATGTGGAGACCGGTTCCCGCTCACTGGCTGAGCGCAGTGCGGGCGCAACACCAAGGGTTGCAATCCCGTTGCCGGTCCCCGGTACAGGCGCGACACTGAGGGTTGCGATCCCGTTACCGGTTGGTAAAAAAGACAAAAAGGAAAAAAAAAATTAAAATAACTGGATATTTGTTCATTTTAGAGCTGGGACTGGCAACTTCTCAGGTAGAATGCTAAATGGATCAGTCATAGCCCATTGTCCTCTGGAATAATTATACTTGCAAGTATTTTAGAGTAGAGAACAGTGGTTTCTTGCCCCATATCTCTGTGGAGGTTGTCCAGTTTTCATGATAGGGAAGAGAAAGGGATAAACTTTAAAGTAACCCAGAGGAATGGAAATCATCAAGTTGAAGGGATACCTGCACTCCCATGTTCATCACAGCTCTGTTTACAATAGACAAGATATGGAACCAACCTAAATGTCCATTGATGGATGATTGGATAAGGAAACTGTGGTATATCTACACCATGGAATACTACCCTGCCATAAAAAAGAATGAAATTCTCCCATTTGCAACAACATGGATGAGCCTGGGGAAACTTATGTTGAGTGAAATAAGCAAAGCACAGAGGGATGAATACTGCATATACTCACTCACATGTGGAAGCTAAGAGAGAAAGAAGGAAGGAAAGAAACACCACAGTAGTATGTTGGACTTGCAGAGGGAGAGAACATTCCTTGAGCTACAAAGTGGAGTGGAGCGGAAGGGGGGAGAGGGAAGGAGGTTGGGGATAATTGGGTGGGGGACACGGGGTACAAATGAAATTTTTGGTAATGGGTATACAGCCAGTATGAATCTGGCCCCCACATCATGGGCATGAGGGGTGACAATCAGCTTTGTATCTCATGAATATTCATAACCAATAAAAAAAGAATTAAAAGTAAAGGTAAATTTAAAAGTGAAACATAAATGATTGACTTTATCTCATTTAAATTATTTTAATTATTTCACTTAGACACTTTGACTAATGTGTCATTCTGACATGAAGAGCAAAAGCTCATCTCACTGTATAATATGTAGGTAATGAGAGACTATTTTTCAACAAGAGTTCTTCATGTTTGAACAGTGATAGTTTAAATTGGTCAATTGATTTTCTGCTTGCTGAAAGAGATGTGCTTCTAAGTGTTGCTTAAGCAGAAAATGTGGTCTTTGGTTAGTACTAATGAAATGGGAGTTAAGACTTGTGACTCTAGGGCCGGCCCGGTGGCGCACTGCTATAGTGTGCCGCTTGGGAGCGTGGTGGCGCTCCCGCCGAGGGTTCGGATCCCACATACAGACTGGTTCCCACTCACTGGCTGAGGGAGGCGCGGGAGCAACACCGAGGGTTGCGATTCCGTTGCCGGTCCTGGTCCAGTACGGGGGCGACACTGAGGGTTGCGATCCGTTGCCGGACACGGAAAATGACAAAAAGGAAAAAAAAAGACTTGTGACTCTATTGTCAGATGGGTCACTTATCTCTATGTAAGCATCACTAAATTTCTTGAAGGTTATTTCTATCATTTGTTATTAAATTTTTGAAAAATGCTTAGAAATTTTTAAGATCAATGCAGCAACATGGTCTATGAATTCATTCAACATGTTGTATGTCCTCTCAGTCCACATTTGTAGTGTCTTAGGTCTCATAGGTCTCTAGGGCAAAGGCCAAATTTATTTGGTCTTTCTTTCTATGGCACCAAATAGATGATCAAACCACTATACAATTAATGAATTTTAGTGACAAACTTTTTTTTTTATTATTTTATCAATATACAATGTAGTTGATTTTTGTGTCCCTTTACCCATTCCTCTTTACCCCCTTCCTCTCCCCCTTTCCCCCCCATCGACATCGTATCTGTTCACTTGTCAACAAGTTCAAGGAATTGTGATTGTTGTGTCTTCTTTCCCCCGCCCCCACCATTTGTTTATTTATTTATTTATTTATAGCTCCCACAAATGTGAGAACATGCAATATTTCTCTTTCTGTACCTGGCTTATTTCGCTTAATATAATTTTCTCTAAATCCATCCATGTTGTTGTGAATGATTCTTTTTAATAGCAGAGTAGTATTCCACTGTGTGGATATACCACAGTTTCCTTATCCACTCATCTGATGTTGGATGTTTGGGCTGGTTCCAACTCTTGGCTATTGTAAATAGCGCTGCAATAAAATGGGAGTACTGGTATCCCTTCAACATGATGATTTCCATTCCTCTGGGTATATTCCCAGCAGCAGAATAGCTGGACCATATGGTAGGATCTATCTGTAATTGTTTGAAGAAACTCCGTACCATTTTCCATAAAGGCTGCACCATTTTGCAGTCCCACCAACAATGTATGAGGGTTCATTTTTCTCCACAACCTCACCAGCATTTATCATTCTCTGTCTTTTGGATATTAGCCATCCTAACTGGAGTGAGATGGTATCTCAATGTGGTTTTGATTTGCATTTCCCAAATGCTGAGTGATGTTGAGCATTTTTTCATGTGCCTGATGGCCATTCATATATCTTCCTTTGAGAAAGGCCTATTCAGCTCCTTTGCCCATTTTTTAATTGGATTACTTGTTTTTTTGCTGTAAAGAAGTGACAAACTTTGAATCCTTTCATGATTACGTGGATAGACAAGTTGGGTTTAAAAATCAAATTTTATAATTTTTTTTCTAAATTTGAAAGAATGGCTTTAAGAGGAAAAACTCCTTCACTTTTTAACATTAAAACAGTGATTATTTTGTGATCTTGCTGGATGACAAGTGAAAAACTCTTTCTTTGCCCTAATGTAAAATCCCAGCAGGAACTCAAGGTTAATTCCCGCTGACCCGTCCAGTCAGGTTGTGAAAAGGTTTCAGAGAATTAATCCTTGGATAAGGTGCTAAAGCTGAAATAATGTAACAACTTCTTTTCTCAGCGGTAAACCTTTTAATTTTAAATATACTACTTTCTTAGAGAGCTAATAAAAGGCTAGGGCTTTTCATATATTAAAGATGATTTAAAGTTGACTTGGAGATAGATTTACAGTATAAAACATGGCTTCATAAAATGAACAACTGGAGAAAATATTCCAAGACTTCATTTATGATGGAAACCTTTTTAAGAATAATGAATTTACATTTCCTAATAGTCTCCTTGAAACTATAGTTGAACTAGGCTACATTAGAGCATAACATGTATTGCTTTAGACAATTAATCAAGTACTGTGTTTTATCACTGTAAATAATCTATGAATTTAGGCTTAAAACATTTCTCTAGCCTTTCCAACAACTGTATTTTTACCTGTGTATACAGATAACACATTTCTTCACTAAAGGGAAGTTTTACTATTTTGAAACTTTCCTCCCTCCTTAGAATTCTCTTTCCCAGATGTCAGGAGAAAAATGTTTTGGGGGCATATTATTTATCCAACTTAATAAAGCTAAATGGTAATGTTTGTCAGCTAAAGAGTAACACAAGCATATTAAATGAATTACTGGAAGGCTGACTCGTCTTTTCAGAATTAATAGTTTCTTCATGTTCTTAGGATGGTGGATTTTAAAAAGAGGATCATAAAATAATCATATCTAAAGTAGTGAATTTACTTTCACTGCACTTTCAAAGAGACTAATCCATAATAAGTGTTACGCTGTATTTCTTTTTTTCCAGTTCTTCAGGGCTGGTCGGCAATGCACAATGAAGAAATCTAAGCAAAATACAGAAAGTGCTGATTTTTGAAAGCAAGCAAAGAAATTCCTTTTCAACATTTCTTATTGTTTATTAATGCAGTATACATTAGATCCAAAAGCTGCAGTTTCTGAGCACACCATGTGTAGATCTTTCAAGTCCTTCTGCAGTTTTAGGTTATGTCTACAGAGGTACCCTTAAGTGAATGAACAACACATTCTATAATTATTGAAAATATAGTACAGAGTGAAATGATTTAAATATAATTTAGGCACATATTGATTATGAAAATAGATATCTCTCAATACAATACTTCTCTGTCTTGGTAAAAATAATAAAGCAAAGAAAATAATTCATTTCTGAAGTTGCTTTCCTTCACCTGTAAAGGTCTGATCTCCTCCCACTATGCATATGTAACCTTTAACTGTGAAGGAAAGCTTTGCATATGTAGATATACAATAAGCTACGTATATACTGAAAGTATGTCATTCTCCCAAAGGAGACAAAGTGGTTTTTAATGACTCACTGCCTCAGGTTGATGAATCTGTAGAATTCAGAACCCATCTGGACACAGCTTATATCCCTGTTCTTGGGATAAACGTAAGGACACTGGGTCACTGGTAAGGAAGTACAGCCCCTATTTCTGCTGCTGGAGATAATGACTCAAGGAAACTGGGCTAAAATTTTTTTTAAAAACCCAAAACACAGGTACCGACTGACTGATTGGTATTAGATCTCAGACCAGCCAAATGCCTTTATTTTTATTAATTTTTTTTTGGTGGCTATAATCAAACTGCCAGTTTAAAATTCCTCATTCCCTATTGTAGGGAATTTTAGTTCCAATTATACTGACTTCTAAAAGGTGACCTTCCCATGGTCATTTATATTTTGTAGCTTTGATTGCAGTGGATTTGGATTTGATACCTATTTCTAAGCTGGCCGTGTTTAAACTATTTGGCATGTGAATTAAATGAGTATTAATGACACAGCTTGGTTTTTCAGTTCTCAAGCGTCACCATGTGCTTATGCTGACTGTATATGAGAAAACTAGGCCAGTAGTGTAAAGAGATAAAATTGCCTGGTCTGGTGTTGAGTGGAACTTGCCTAGAATGAAATTCTGTGGAATGCTCATTTAATAGTTGTGGCTATAGGTGAAGTCTCCCTCCATCTGGAGAGTTCCACAGTATCTGCAGAATGACAGTGATGTATAAGATGTCTTTCCTTCCACTCTGTCTCAATAAGTAAGAATGGAATAGTTCTTTAATTTAGCTACTATTTTGTTCTAAGAAGTAAACATTATAAAAATGAACCTGAAGAGAGTCTTAGGGAGTCTGACCTCACCATTTTCATACAGTGTGACAGGTATTTAAAGAGAGGAGGCATCACTAAAGCTATTTATAAACCTGAACAACCTTTTCCAAGTTCTCATAAAGTTTAGCAATTTAAACATCCATACTGCATCTATGTATTCAATAAATATAATTGCATATGTTGTGCTTTTCATAAAATAACATCCTCAAATGAATCTCAAACCAAGATGGTATTTCCACGTCATGCTTATTTAAAAGCAAATATAACAGATACTATTCCTGGTCATAAAACCAGGCAAATCCCCCTACCCCATTCAAAAGGCAGCAATATAATCTAGTTTCCCTACATCTATTAAATGAGTGCTTTTCTGTTCTAATCAGAATGTGGAAAAAAAGTCCATTTTTTCCCTTATGCACCACTAAGAACAAGCAAAATCCTCTAAATGTTTTTTTAAAATTCTCTTACAGGGTTATTTTTTCTAGACAACTGACTGGGTGGAGAAAGAAAAGTGACAAGGAAAACATTTTTCATCTTGGACATCCTCCTGCAGCCCCTAAAATCCTCATCTGACACTTTGTGACATATGCAGTGGTGTCAGCATCTCTTCGAATATCGCTCCCTTCACGTTGGAGCCTCTCAGGTTGGCTTCTTGAAGATCACACCCAGACAGATCACAATTCTGTAAGACAGAAACAATATTCGTGTGATTCATATGGAGATCGAAGGCCTTTTCTGTTTCCTCTCAAAATGGTTGCTGGGGCATTTAGGAAAATGTTCCCATATAATAAAACTCAGTTAATTCCCAGAAAACTTCTGACCATATAAAGTCAGATTTTCTTCTATCTATATTTGTCATCTCTAGTTGATGCTCAGGCTGACCACCACAAATATTTATAAATGAAGGCTGAAGAGGAAGCATGTCCCTTCTGTTCGTATATTCTACAATCAGGCATTTAAAATACAGAATGTATTTTACTTTACCACATTCCAAGAACAACCACAACAATGAAAGGCACAAGATGGGAAGACCATTTTTTAAAAAATCTGAAAGAGATTTTACTTACTAATTAAACTGTGTAATAGATTTTTCCATTCCCCAGCTCTAATATTTTTATAGCAGGGAATTAACTTTTTTAATCCTAAATTTACATGTACAATATAATGAGTTTTGATAGATATATACACTAGTGGGACCACCATAACTGGAAGCTGTTAATTCACCTCAAGCTAACAGAATGAAAGATGCGACAGAGATTCTGGTTATGTCTCTCGGGTGGTGGGGGACAACAGCTAGAGAGAAGGGTGACTTCACAGAACCTTTCAGAAGAACAAAGGTCAGCAGCTGCCCCTCAACAGTGAACCTCATTAGTCTTTGTGATCAGTTGGACAGAGGGAGGCTTTTGCTACTTAATCACACTGACTACACAGTAACCAAAACCAAGGAAAAAACCATGATCTCAGATGACAGTAACAAATAATAAATAATTAAATAATTGTGCTCATAATAGGATTATGCTATCAGCCTTAAGCCTGTTCGGTTTGCCTTTTAGTTTAAAGGGGCCTACTACTTTGCTGCTGAGAGCTCTCAAAAGATTAAGAAAAAAAAAACATTTTTAAAAAAACCAACAGCAATCTAAATTTTGACATACTATTCTCTACAATCTAATCTATACCGTATTTTCTTGTATAGAACTGTACTGTTCAATATGATAGCCACTAGCTACAAGTGGCTATTTACGTTTAATTAAAATTAAATTAAAAAATCTATTTCTCAGTTGCACTAGCCACAGCTCAAATGCTCAATAGCTATATGTAATAGTAGCTACTGTACTGAACAGTACAGATATAGACATGTCCCTCACTGCAGAAAGTGCTACTGGACAGTCCAGATATAGACCTACAACAGCTATTGATTCTGCTAGCTAAATTTAAAATCAAGAAGACATATAGGATATAATTCTTATGAAAGATGACTAGACAAAATTAAAATCTCAAGCTGGGATTAAAAAGAATACGATGCCAGTTTAGAATAGTCTTTTCCTGAACCTGATTTCAAATGACAGCATTTAAATTTCTCAAGTAGTTCAACACACAATCTGGCCCATTTAATTCAGTTTGAAACTAAAATCTATGAAAAAACTATTAAATTAGATTAATAAAGCATCTATAAAACTTATTTACTTGAGAAAGACCCATGGAAAAGGAGAGAAATGAAATCAACTTAGACTGAATGTCAGGTGAGTCTTCAAATCTGGAACTGGCATCTATGACTGAGGTAACTAAACCCTGCTCTGGAATTCAAATTTGTTTAAACAAGCAACTAAAAGGAAAACATTCCTCCAGCTGTGTTGGCATGTTACCCCACAATTTCACCAGCGAACTACTTTGTTTATGACTTCAAAAAATTTTGCACTAGCAACTTAGTAATTATAGATTAACAAAAACTCTTTAAATATTGGTGAACTTACCTCTAAATCAGTTCCGGCCAGAGTTGCTCCTCTGAGGTTACAGTTCTTCAACTTTGCATTTTTTAAAGTAGCAACTCTCAGGTTAATTCCTGTCATTTGACTTCCTTCCATATCCACACCTTTCAGATTAGCTCCTACAGCGAGCATATTTTGGGAGTAGTTTAACTTTAAAATATTTATAGTTATCTACCTTTAACAAAACTGCAAGATGACTTAATGGAGGTCAATGATGGCAGCCTCCTTTAATTTTCAGAAATAAGTCTGAACTATAAATCTCAGTCTCTCAACCAATTACATATATAAAGAATCCAATGGTAATGATCCGTTTGCTTAAGCAACAAATTAAGAATGTTTTCGTCAATGTTTTGAGTGGAGGAATTCAATTCTGTCTTGTGATAGTCAGTACTTTTATAACGTGCCTCCATAAGCGTATGACAAAGGGGATAAGTACAATGTCTCCTAAATATACAAGTAAACAAAGTTCACAGGTACAGCAAAGCAATAATGAATAAATAAAGCATTAAGTCCAAAAATGACAAAAACACCCCCCTCAGCTCTGTACAAAGTGAAATTCTTCCTTTTGGTGAGTACAAGAATACTTTGTTCTATTTGAAAGGTTAAGATGTTTAATTCTCCAACTAAAGCTTCATTGAATGTTATAGGCTTTATTTTCTCTGAGACCTCAATTTTGATTAGCATATGGCTGGGACCAAATGGAAGCATCTTTTACGCCTTTGCCAATTCTTCAAATGTGATGACAGAAGAAATCTGTACCCCTACAGCTATCCTGTTCTACCCTTGACAATGATATGCTGGGCTTTTTCCTTTATGGTCTGCTTTCACCATAGAACGGGTATTTGCAGATAGACTCTCACCTTCTAAATTGGCTTTAAGACCAGAAGGATCCTCAAAATTACAGAGTTTCAGGGATGCTCCTTCTGCATTAGAACAAAGCATCTTAACTCCCTGGAGATTTGCACACTGAAAAGAAAAGAGAAAATTCCTGGTTTTAAGGTTCATAATTTTTTCAAATTGGTTCAAACAGTAAAATAAAAAAAAAAAATCAAAATAAAAAAGTGGGGGAGCTCAGTTCAACACATTCACAATCAATTATTTCTGTTTACAATGAAGACTTTTTAAATTGAACCCAATAAGAACTGAGAATGTTTTAAAGAAATAGTTGTTTTATAAGAACTGTTTTAAAAAGAAAAGAACTCCAAATTAGCAACAGCACGCCCACTTCATGTGAAACATAAGGGTTCAGATAAAGAAGCTGGGGGAGTCAGACTATGACATCCCTAATTCCTATTTTTATAAACAGCCCTGGGCATGGCAATGTGACAGTCAACATGTATAGGTAAGAAAGGCATAAACTTGTCTTATGATAGTTAGCACTTTTTTAATATGCTTCCATAAGCGTATAACAAAGGAGATATGGACTTTCTCTTCCTTATTACTGTAGGAATTAATAAGTGACATTTTTGATGTTCCAAGATACCACTCCCATCTTCATATCAAAGTCCAGAATACTAATGCCAGCAAATGAAGGTATCATTCAGCTATAAAACACTAACAAGTTGCTTGTTGGGTTCCGTATCAACCATTGCAATGCAACATTGTCAATCTTGAGCACCCAAATCACAATATATAATGCAGATAAGAGAGTAAAAAGGCAGAAAATATATGTTAGAGTTTTATTATGTTAATTCATCTCAAAGGGTTTAATACCATCAGATTTGAACTATAACAACTACTAGCTAAGCCAGACAGCTTATCTATAAAGTTCACATTAACATCAGACCTCTTCACAAATTGTGACAAAGTAGAATATGAATGTAAAAATGTTTCAAAAGCTGTGAGGCATAATATGAATGACACTTGTACACACCATTATAATTATATCCTAAGGCCCATCAAGTCACAATGTAGTCACGCCTATTAAGAAAGATCCTTGTTTTATTGGCACAATTTCATTCACTCTACAGTCATTTCTAGTAAAAAGAAGATGAGAGGGAGACCACATCAGTTGCAGAAAACTGACGAACACGTGCTCATTCCCATCTATGCCTGTGCCTTAACACAAAGGCAGTGCAGAAGCTCTGAATAGATAGGTAAGGTAGTAAGCATCTGCAAGGACCAAAGTAACTAAAGGATGACTGGATTTTATGTGCTTGAAAATATAACAAGATGGGAAGCTGATATATGCAAATAAATGTTTCTGGTTTTCTATGTAATGTTCCCCAGTAAAACAAAATGTGAACATTATCAAATGTTCTCAAGGTAATTATATAAGTACCACTCTTATACTTAGGGGTGTACAATAGAATCCTATAAAGAAGCAAATATATGAGAAATTGCAGTAAAATTTTCAACCATGTAAAGCATTTTACCCTCTACTCATCAAATAGCAAAGCAAGTGACCAATGCTGAGATTTTGGAACTCAGCTAGAAAGACAGCATTGCAGTTACAAGAACTGTACTATCTTACTATCAAGAGAGGCAATGTGTCTGGATGAAAGTGGTTATTATTGCTATTTATTTATTTATTTATTTTAATTTAATTTTTTTTTTGCAGCTGGCCAATATGTGGATCTGAACCCTTGACCGTGGTGTTACAACACCATGCCCTAACCAGCTGAGCTAACCACCAGCCCATTACTGCTATTTTTAAAGTATGAAAACGGTATTATGTTTCTAAAATGGTTCTTATCTTTAAAAGATAAATAAAAAAACATTTACAGGTGAAATGAATTGTTTTAAAATAATCTGTGGTGAGGTACAGACATACCAAAATTGATTATGTGCTGATATTTGTTGAAGCTGAGTGATGGAGGTATAAGGAAGATTCATGATACTATCCTATTTTTCTATGTGTTTGACATTGTCCAAATGAACAAGTCATTAAAAAAAGAAAAACAGGAAAAGAAAACACACACTTTAAATTCTAGTTCCAACTCTGCTAAAAACCAGCCTTGGGCAAGTCTCTAGGTTTCAGTTTCTCAATCTGTAATACAACAGAGTCATCTTAAATAACCTCTCTAGTCCTTATTGTTCTATAAACTTTAGCCATTTGATAAGTCTTGGAGTGGGAATACCCAATGGAGAGGTACAGCTGAATTATTACATCAGCTTCTATGCAGCAGGCTAAGTCAGTAACAGGAGGCTGAGCGTGTAGAAGAAGAAATAGTCTAAAACATGCTGACAGAATACACGGACAGCTTAACAGTGATAGCAAATGGGACCCCCTTGGTTTATGGCAGAATTGGATGGTTCCTGCGGAGATGTCTCACAACCCATGAGGGAAAGAAGCAAAGCCATAAACTGGATGAGCAGTTCAACAAGAGTGGTGGAACCATTAGGTTCATCCCATGTTGCAGAATGCTTAACACACATTGTATTTTGTGGACACTTTGATACACATGGTTATTAGTCAGCAGCCATCTTCCAATGCCAAGGACAATTAAAAATTAGTTTTGACTCAAAGTCTACTCACTCTGGGCAATGACTCTTCAACATGAGCCATATTTGTCATTAATAACTAACCTTAATCCTATAGCACTTTGGTTTATCAAATAATTTTATATTATACACCTATTTTGGCCTTCAAATCAGTTATATGATATGGATAGAACAGGTATTATGAGTCCTAGTTTACAAAGTAGAAAATTTTGGCTCAGGTTCATTATTTAATTATAGTAATAATCTATTTAAATAGAACTCAAAATTAGCTGTATTGAATGATCCAGTCTGTCCTTTTTTCTTTCGTCCTTAACAAAAATCAAGCTGCCTCTCAACATTTCACTATTTAAAGACTAAGTCCTTCACACTTTTTGTCTGTGCTGTTAGCTCTGCCTATTTTGCTACTGGCTTGACTCTTTATCATAAGACGGAACAAGGAGAGTGAAAGTAACTAAAAGGTATATTGGCAGATTTTGTTACTAGCTCTGATACGAAGCTTGTGGAAAAATTAGCTGCAACTAAGGAATAAAACCAAAATTATAATAACTCAATAAAAGATACTTTTAACTCAATAAAAGCAAGATGCTATGTTAGGTGCTATTAATTAAAAAGACATATACATGGGCCCTTGGCAGTAAGGAACTTAAGGCTGTTAGAAGTTAGTAGATCTCATTGTTGGTCTGCACATGTCCTCTAACCACAAATTAACACAGATAACTATTATGTAAATATGTACATATACATGTATACACATATACATATATACACACACGCAAACATATACAACATAAGTAGAGAGAGTGAACTCCACCGAGATGCTACCTTCCACAGATTGATACATACCACATTTATTTCAAAATATCTCTGCCAAATACTTTTAGAGCAATAACATTTTCCCATTCCAGAAATGAGGTCGAATAGATTTCAAAGGTTCTTTTCTGCTTTATACTTATAATTCACTGAAAATAGAAGTCCTGATAAATAAAGTATACTTTATTGAGGAGATCAGGATCTAATTTCGAGATTTAATTTCTTATTAGCTGCTAAACCTTTCAGGTCCATGTTTAATAAAGGACATCAAAGTTGTAAAACCAACCCATTTCACTTTTAGAGCCTTCAATTTTATCATCAACATAATAAGTGATCTGTTTTCAAGTCAAAGCTCCAGTAAGAGACAGATATAATTCCTGCTCTTTGAGACTGTTCAATAGACTAAAACTCTAATTTTCTTTTGTAACCAAAAATGATTCTTACGTCAAGCACTGATCCAGACAAATCAGCTCGTTCAAGATTTGCACAGCAGAGATTTGCATGTGCAAGATTACAGCGGCTTAAATTGGCCATTTTGAAGTTAATGTATCGAAGGTCCAAACGTGAAAGATCAGCACCACTGAAGTTTAAACCCTGAAATAAAAAAAGCACAAATTGTCACAATATTTAAACCATCTGTTTATATTAAATTTAATTACTATAGCTAACCACCAAGTGCTTTCAGAAGCAACTGGCAGTTCAGTCACTTGGAGTTTATTACAAAACATGACCAAATGGAACTTAGATACAAAAAGTAAGTGTTCTTAATGGGTTCCTCATAAAAGAAACTCTATTGATACATACATTAGAATACAGTCTGGCTAAGGATCCCTGTTTGTCATAAATCTGCGAATAAGTGTTATTTTAGTTAAACCTAATTATATTTAAATTATTTTAGTAATTCAATAACTCAAGAGTTTTTTAAGAAAAAATGAGTACTGTAATTTTTAAAATCTGTAATGCTATAATACACAAAAGTAAAAGTATTGCCACCAACTAGACATACACAGCAACTATACAATTACTAACTTTTAAAAAATTACTACAATTTCCATGCATTACTCAAAAACTGCCACTGAGGCATATTTAGATAATAAAAAAGGCTATTGCATCTCTTTTGGGCTATTTTAGAATTAAATCAAAGTCATGACCCATAATTAAATTATATCTTGCATGAAAAAGGAAAATAAGGAAAAAAACCCAGAAACCATAAAAAACCCTAGAATAATTAAAAACTTTACACAGAGATTTGTTGATACAAATAACTCATGTAAAAGTCTGTCTTAATTACCTGGCAACGCAATTCTGACTTGGTTGGAGTTGCTAGCAGAAATCGGACAAATTCCTTTCGGGATATTGGTGAATGATCCTCTGGTGGTTGAGAATTCTTGAAAAAGATATTAAGAAATTAGTAGAGCATTTTGGGAGATAGCTACACTAAATGTAACATTGGCTAATTTAAAAAGAGCCTTACCTTTATTGCCACTTCTAGGTGTTCGATCAATGAGTCAATACCAAAAAATCTGGCTTCTTCTAATACACCTATCGGAACAAAAATGATTGAACTTTTACAGAAAACTTTTCATTTTGATATTTATAGAAATCTTTATGTTAAAGTCTCTCAACGGAAATGAAATTCAGTAAGTAGTCAATATAGAAGGAAAGTAATGTTTAGAACGTACATATAGAATATTTTAAAAATATTTGTAAAACAAAGGTTTTTCTAAGTTGTTTATATTCTGCAAAAGAAAAAAGAAAAAGAATGAATTAGAATGAAAGTCTTCCATACTTCAAATTTCTCTTGCTCTTTTTTTTTTTTTTTGGCAGTTGGCGAGTGCGGGGGTCCGAACCTTTGACCTTGGTGTTATCAACACTGTGCTCTAACCAACTGAGCCAACTGGTCAGCCATCAAAATTATTTCTGATAATTATTTTCAAAAGCCCATAGCCAAGAAATCATAATACTGCATATTCCTAAACAATGAATTTAGTGATTTCATTGTGAGTTTAATAAAAAATGATTAGTGCACTTAATCTTAACATTTCATTGACTTTTTTTTCATGGCACAGATCTGAACAGATTTGCCACAAATATCTTTTATTTACTGAATCAGAAAATGATAAAAATGAATAAAAATTTAAGTTGGCTTCAAACCAAAAGTCAAAAGTATAATTCAGAAACCTTCCTTAAAGGAGAATAAGTTTTTAAAAAAATTTCTAAATGATAAAAGGGATTTCATCTATCATTTGCTTTTCTTAACATGGTTGAAAAAAAAATCTGTACATCCTCTAGGTGACTTGGTATGTTTACTTTCTCACATCTGTTAATAAACATATCAGAGTACGTGGGAATAAATTTTGGATCCATTATCTCTCAGATGAAGATCTCAGTCGTCGGTTGGCTGAGTCCACTTGGTAAAAACTACTAGGGATGCAGGAATCACAAAGAAAGTAAGAGCCATAATTCCTCCCTTCAAAACTGTTTCAAGCTAATAAGGGTAATTAGATATAGATACAGAAAACCACAGTTATTTGAAAAGAAGAATATGATCTTCTCTGTGAAAACCAGACTCTACCTCCAATAATCCAGTTGTAAAACAAAGGTCATCTGACGGACAGCACAGCACTTGGTGTCCACTCAGGCACACGTGCTTTCCAGGCCATCATACCAGAGTGGCTTGGTCTCTAGAGTCCTCCTGAGGGTGCAGCCCCACTACACACCTGTCCCTGGTAGAGACCCATCATTAGAGAGGACCTAGTGGGCCTCGCTCTCAATTTGCCAAGATCTTCTGAGTAAGTCAATACCTATCAGGAATGGGGTAAGAATTCTTCTCTAATTCTAGGTTTAGAATTAAGCCTTAAAAACAACCAGAAAAGTTTTATAAATACAAAGAACATACATGGAGGATAGTAGAGGAAAGGAAGTCATATTTCGTGTATCTCTAGTAGAACCAGTAAGACCCGAATTTGAATCCCAGTTCTGCCACTCACTACCTTTTTGGTCTTAGAGAAATTACTTTAAATTATTTTAAAGCATATAATCGCTTGGGGCAGCCTGTAGATAATGGAGAGAGTTGGGATGGAAATTGTACTAATTAATAACAACACTTTATCAAATGGATCCAGTAGAGAGCTTGGCTTGGCTGAACAACTGAATAAATAATAGAAATGATTGAGAAACATGAAAAAAGAAAAACAAGTAAATCTTGGTAATAGCTTGGATTGCAAAAGTCTGAGATAGCACAGATACATATTTCTGATGTTATTTTCTGAATTGGGAGGATATGAAATACTATCAATGATACAAGGAAAAATTAAAATGGGAGGAATAAAATAGCCCATAGGACATCTAAAGCTGAGGTTTAAAATGTACTCAGGAGAAGAGGGTAGCCTTTAGAGTGAAAAGCTACAATGTGATACAGGTGCAGAAAATAAAAGGATGTGTAAAAGAGTGAATCACTGATAATTTTTATAATAATTTCTGCAGAATTACTAAAATAGAAAACAGTTTATAAAGAATTTAAAGCAAGAGTTGGTAGAAAGCAAAAAAAAAAAAGCAATAAGAGTTTAGTTAGGAACAGTTATAGAGCTAGCTGAAAGGGCCAATTAATGCCATTTTTTTTTTACAATGGGTACATTTTAAGGGGAATATAAAGTTTAATATAGCAACGTTAAAAGTTACTGGGTACTTTGCATTTTACTACAAAGATTATAAGCTAGCAGTCCTCAGGCTGATTCTGAGGTATTTGGCATGCAGTATTCGCAAAATCAGAAAATTTCATCACATAAAATTTTAGATATCCAACTTTTCTTTAACAGTCAGGACTCTGGCACCCTAGCCCACATTCCCACATGGCAACAATCTGCTGAAGCTGAGCAGGCATGTGAACTCAAGATTGCCGTACTCCCCACCACTCCTCGAACCCTAACGTCAGATCAAATTTAGAGGCCTACAAGCTTTTGAATATGTAACCAGTGCTTTGTAACAGCGTTTGTCCATATCATCTCCACAAACTTTCACAAAAATCTTGTGATACAGGCAGAAGTGAGAATATTTTTAACACCCATTTTTTCCAAGGAGACTCAGAGAGATTTCCAAAGATAACCTTCAGTAAGTTGTAGAATCAAGACTCTAATCCAGTCTTGTGATTCTAAAGCATGGTTCCCCTCTTGATCAGTCTACTCAGTATAATGGGGAGGTCCAAGTCATAGTCTCAATTCAATTAAAAAACAAACAAGCAACAAAATCTTGTAAAGTCCCTTGTGACAGAATCTAAAATTAAAATTTGTGGGTTAGATCTATACCCACACATATAAAGACTAGCTACCTATGCGTATAACTATTTCTACACTTATGCATATTCATATACCTATGAAAATGTTTAGTTTAAAGAGTGGAAAAGATATACTTTCACTCTATGAAAACATACATTACCAAATGAAAATAAAACAAAAATTCTAAACTTACAGAAATGTGAAGAATTATCTGGAAAACTCACCCAATAAATTGATGCCATCATTTACAATGAGCTGTCCATGACGCAGGTAGTTCAAAATGGGTTCAAAGTACTCAGGACTTCGGTCAATTAAGAAAGCTCCTCTATGGTCTTGCTTATTTCCCCAGACACCTGTGTTACCATTATAATGAAGAAAGACCCCATAAACAAAAAATAAAGTTAGAAATTTACGGAAGAAAAATTGTGTAATGTACCAGCAAGTTTCTACTCTGGTAAAACTTACTGATATCATTAAAAAGTACAGAAGGTCAGGAGTTATAAAGTCAATATGGATACAAATAGATGACAAAATGTAAAAACAATGTGTTACGCTCACCTTTGTCCTTAAACATGTGGGCCAGCATACTGTCGGGTTCTTTATTCACTAAAGTGCTCCTAAGAATTCAGGGAAAAAAATTGATTTCTCCATTTGTCTTTATAAACAAACATATTTAAGTCAAGAGTAACTCGATCCCAGCTGCTCTCTCAAAAAGATGCATGCTATAACCTGGTAGGAATAATGCTGGGAAACAAAAACGTGCAGTAAGTTGCCATTTATCAAAACCCCTTCTAAGCTGGCACTTCCTTTTATTTAAATATTTTAGTTTCCTTTAATTTAAATACTAATCTATTCTCCTAGCAACTCTTATATCATTATATTTTTGATCTTCCACACTTACATTTTTCTGACCCCTTCAATATAAGCAGTTGTAGTCTCTACACATTTCAATATTGCTTTTTACTTGTATTGCATGTATATTATTCGATATCTAGAAATCATGTTCTAAAACAATGAATTCATGCTTTTTATGCTTTCTCTGGAATGACTTTCTCATGGTAAATCAAGTCCTACCTTTTTCTTTAAAAAAAGTTTTAAATGGTCTCAGATCACATAGCATATTTAAGCAGCATTTGAATATCTTTTTAGGAAATCAACAAATTGATGGAAAGAACAAACAGTACAGTGTCCTTTTTGCTCTCTTTCTCTCTCTCTAACACACACACACACACACACACACACACACACACCACATACACACCTACCGTGTAGTTGTAAAGTACCGCCCTCCAACATTTAATGTTAGCCAGTCTGTGTGGGATCCTAATGATCCTTCAGGTGGTTTTGAATCTGTCTGTGGATCTAAAGATGATATGTAGAAAAGAACAATATATTAAGATTGAGGATTCTGGAAAGATGTCAATCGCACAATTTTTGACACTAAATACATGCATAAAAGCATATCAGAGCTACCAGGACAGCAAAACCCACACCGACAGACAGCATCTAAAACAATGCTGAGTGATAAGTTATTCCTGCCAATACCACTAGCTATAAGAGCAGCTGCTATCAGCGTTTGTGAAGGAAAAAGCAGAGAGGGGCAATAGGGTAAGTGATAGTCTAAAGAATTCCAAAGCAACTTATGGACACTGACTTCACATCTTACTAAGTCTATGTGAGAACAACAGACTGAGAACGGGAGGGGTATGAGCACCAAAAAAGTGGGTAATGCAAATAGTTTGCAGTAAGATCAGGAGGGGCTAGAAATGAACTCTCAAAATCAACCTGCCAAAACTCCCTTCTAGAGACAGATCCCCAATATTGGTGACAAGATGCTGGGAAAAGAATCCAGACTGAACAGAACAGAGACAACAGAGACAAAAGAAAAAGCAGTCCAGATAAAAGTCAAGAAGGCAAAATAGAACATATCAGAACATGAGTCCCATATTTTTTTTTTTTCCTTTTTGTCTTTTTTTTTTTTTTGTCTTTTTGTCTTTTTTCGTGTCTGGCAACGGATCGCAACCCTCAGTGTCGCGCCCGCACCGGACCGGGACCAGCAACGGGATCGCAACCCTCCATGTTGCTCCCACACCTCGCTCAGCCAGTGAGCGGGAACCGGTCTGTATGTGGGATCCGAACCCTCGGCGGGAGCACCACTGCGCTCTCAAGCGACGCACTGTAGCAGTGCGCCACTGGGCCGGCCCCTTCCTTTTTGTCTTTTTTTTTTTTTTGTCTTTTTGTCTTTTTTCGTGTCTGGCAACGGATCGCAACCCTCAGTGTCGCGCCCGCACCGGACCGGGACCAGCAACGGGATCGCAACCCTCCATG